GTGCCCCTAAACTATGGCCAGAACTGATGATGAGTATATGCCCTCAGCTAATGACAGCATCTTGACCAAATTCCTCAAAGCATTTTCCTCTGCTTGACACCGTTACATCTGTCTTGCTCAGATTCAGCATCAGCCCATGTTTATCCATAAGCTGATCTCCTTCAAACACCAGGTGCCTTTCTTTGTGTAAATGTGTGGTGTAGAAAAGGTGAAACTCGGTGCGTCTACACATGATGCTATGTCACTGTAGCAATGTGCTATGGCAATGTAGTATTGGCAGGCAGAACCCATGATGCCACAGCTACATCACTGTAGTGATACAGACTCTCATTATTTCATGTTTCTATGGCGATGTAGTGATTAAAAAATAACTGTGTGTTGTGTGGATGGTGAAGTATGGCCTGCTACTGCACTGTCATTTAGTACTTTCAAAAGGAAGTACTAATTGACAGCACAGTAACATTGATACCATAGGGGCACGTGTAGATGTGTCTATTGTGTCACAAATATAATGATTTCACTTGAGGCCAAGTCATCTAACAGTTCAGTTAGCAGTTAGTAATAGATGCTTAAAAGGACAGGAGAGAGAATTGATGCTGTGGGACTCCACAGGTAAGAAATCTTCTTGTGGGAGTGCAGTTTCCATCATTGCTGTTTTGGATGCGTCCCTTCAGAAGGGCTCAAACTATTTCAGTGCACTATTTCGGTGCACCCCTGCCACCTCTCTCAGGTGGCTAAGCCATATCTTGTTTACTTATGCCCCTGCTAGACATTACATATTGCACAATTGACTGGTGAATCTCAATAAAGTTAGATCAGCCACCTGCACAAAGTAATTATCACATGATAAAAATGACTATCTAGTAGGGGTGTGTGAAATGGGTCCTATTCAATCCAGCTTCGGATTCAGCCTTAGACGCTGCTTTAAATGTTTTTTCTGCATACCTCGAGGTATCAGGCACGGTTCATGAACTCAGTGATGGTGGGGCAGATGCAGTGTCCCACAGGAGCACAGGGCGAGGACCCCATGTGCTCGGCGGCAAACCTGGAAGTACTTCCAGTCCATTTCTGGGTCCGCCACCAAGCACATGGAGGGGCCCCTCTGTACTCCCATGGCTCAGTGATCAGCCACAGGTGAACCCTTGGTGCCCCCCCAGACTCAGGAGCCACCAGTTGCCAAGCTGAGGGGGTTCGGGGGGGGCCCTCTGTGAGCTCCCTGGTGAACCCAGAAATGGATTAGACATGCTTCTGGTCCACTTTTGGGTCTGCTGTTGAGCATGCTGGGGAGCCCCCCATGCTCCTGTGGGATGCTCCATCCACCCCACCATCTCAGCATTCACGAGCCACCTGGTACCTTGAGGTACGTAAAAAAAACATTTAAACCTGTGCCTATGTCCAAATCACCAAATCTTTCCAAATGTCTCTGAATCAATTCAGAGGGTTCCAATTTCAATTTGGAGAGATTAAAGGGTTTCCTGGTTCAATTCAGCTTTGGAGATTCAGCCACCAAATTGGGCCGAATGTCCACTGAACTGAAGCAGGAACTGAAGCTTTGCACAGCCCTACTATCTAGCTGAAAGAAGGGCCAACCAGCTAAAAGGTTAGTGCTTGAAAATGTGTAACAACTCAGTTATTGGTTTCTACCCAGCTTTATTTTGAGCATGTGTGGGCCACTTTTCCTTCAGTTCTTCCCCCTTTCCCCCCTTCCTCTTCCTTTCTTAACACCCCCTCCAGTTAGTTTCTTTCTCTCTCTTTCTCTCTTCCTCTCTCCTTTTTTTAAAGCAAAATGAAAAAGAGTTGGGAGGAAAAAGTTGCCTAAGGAAAGGGGGGTGGGGGAGGGAAGAGGAAGCACATGGTAAACACAAGTGACTAGAGACCAAAAACTTAAAAAACCAAAAAAATATTCCAAGAGGAAAAATCTTTGTAAGAATGTTTGCATAAATCCATCTTGTTTTTCACCATGAGGAATGAGAGTCCTTTGAAATTCTACAGGAATAAAGTTTTCCTATTGTTAGATGGGCTTCGCTTCCAATGCTTCTCCAGTTCTGCACCGAATAGTCCTTTTCTCTCCACACTGATAATACTGCCTATTCTGAAGTTTTCCTCAGGAGAGAATGTAGCCATCCAGGTTGGGCACCTACAAAACGGGTGTTTTGGACTATTTTGCATACAGATTTTGTGGCAGAACTTTATAGTACCAGTTTTTATGAAAGTAATGATGAGTTTAATAGAATCTGGAATCTACTCCAGTCACTCTTGGAAAAACTTCTGAACACTAATATAGAACTTCCAGTTCTTCATCAGTTTTTTTTCCCCTGAACTTTTCCCTCACTTTACATCTTCAGGAATCTAAGTCCATTAATTAAATTTTGAAATTTAGAGAAAGGTGAAAGATGGGGGAAATCTTTGTCAAATATCTAAACCACAAAAAGAATAAAATATCACTAATATTAACATACTTTGGACACGTGAATCCCATCAAATGAATAAACCGTGAGTTCTGAGGTCTGTTATCCAATGTCACTCAAGTGCATCTTAAAACAACCTATGATTACATGTGCTGTATCAAGTCACTGCAGGCCCTTAAGCATTAACTTCTAATAAATACAATTGATCTGTTGGGCTACACTGTACCCTACATGATGGGTTTGTCGCTGGAGGACATGATGACCACAAAAGAAGCAGAAGGAAACACTTTCCCCCCTCCCTGCCCCCTATCACCTTTATTAGAGGTTTTGTACAGACATTCAGTTTCTCTGGGAGAGCAGTGACTCTCCCAGGAGATACCATGAGTATGCAGATGTTCTGGCTTTTTCTCCCGGGGTAAAAATGGCTGCTTCAGGAGAAAAATAACCTGGGAACAACCAGGGTTAAATCATACTCAGGAGAGTTTCTTCTTGGAGAGTGAATGTTTGTACATGCTGAGAGAGCAGGGACGGCCAATTATTTTGGACAGAGGGCCACTTACTGAGTTTTGGCAAGCCATCGAGGGCTGCATGACAGGCAGCCAGGGGCAACTAAATATTAATTTTCTAAATGTTTTAGGGGCCCTGCAGGCCAGATAGAATGGCCTGGTAGGCCACATCCAGCCCATGGGTTGCATTTGCCCACCCCTGTGCTAGAGTCTCCATGTACTTGGAGATGTGAAGTCTTCCCACTGCCACCCAAAAACATCTACTTTGTTTCTCTCATCCTATCTCAGAAGCCAATCTACCACTTGAGGGTTTTCTCCTATGCCACTAAGTGCTCAAGACCTCTTTAAATATATTAATTCCTGGCCCTGTCTGAATCTTTTGAGAAATGGGCTTCAAGTTTCCCCTGCTTCCTGGACCAGCTATTCTCTTTCAGACTTGCTAGAGTCCTGACTTTCCAGGGCTCTTGTAAAGCTGCTGTGATAACCCAGGCCATGACTGAGCACATTCGGAACTGGACTTCTTTTGTGTGGCTGGCAACCCATTAGCATAGAGCTGGTCCTAGGTTAATGTTGTTCACTGTAGCCCTATGGCAGTGGTTGTGTTCTCTATTTTTATTCTAGATCTTGATATGCGTAATCCTCCAAGACTTTCTGTATCTGTCACAGAGTAAATAAGGGGATGAATGCTCCAGCTCTGAGCTTCAGCACATCCTGGAAAAGTTGTTTTTTTTTTTAAAAAAAAAAAGCTTCTCTGAGTGTAAATGAGTTGGACAGGTGATTTTTTTTTAAGGTATTGTTATGAATAATTTGAAAATAAATGGAAGAAATAAAAGTTAATTCCCCTCTCTTGCCTACATGTCTTGTAGTGTTAGGGGGATGGGTGGGTAGAATTAGAGGAAAGATTTGGATTTTTTCCCTACAGCAAATGGTGGTTATTAAAATAATCGATTTATACAACTGATGTTTTTTCACATACAAAATTTTCTTTTAATCTTGTTACCGAGAGGGTTTGAACATGCTTACATTAAAAGTTTCTTGGGCACTGGCAGCAGGGACGCTGTCTTATGTGCATATACTATATATTCCTACAAAGTGCTACGCCCATTACTTGTTCACAATCAGAGAGCCACATGGTTGCTAACTGATGCTAAGTAGGTAGTAAGGCAGCTATGAAATGAAAAAGTGTGTGTAGGAACAGAGACAGAGACCCTTTTATTCTTTGCAATGACCTTTTTTTCCATTACAACTGTTGCAATTTATTTTTCCTGCATCTTTCACATTTTTCTTTACCCCTTTAAAGCCCCTGATCCAAGCTCCTCTTACCAGGCTCCAATAAACATGTCTATTGAACTGTATAAATACTCTTAAAGGAGGCAAGCTACAATATGCACTGTTTGCTTTGGCAAATGAAATTGCATTTATGCTGCTTCACACACAAACGATTATTTCATCTGCACACCAAAGCTCATGTTGGGTTTAGCAGTGATTGATTAATGCCTTGAATAATTAAACAAAATCACCCACTGTAAAATATTTTTCTTCAGCATTTAATACAAATTGCTAAAGTATGGTTTCATGTGTATTATTAGCTGTATTAATGCTACCATATGACTTTTGTTTTCCTCTCCCTCCCTTGTAGTAAAAATGATTGTACCAATTTCACACTTACTGGCCAGTAGCATATTCTTGATACACATTTCCATTTATGATAAGATCAAATAAAATTTTCCACAATGTGCATTATGCAAGATGCATAACTCTTTCCCACCTCCCCACCTCCCACCAAAATAAACTATTATGGAAGTCAATAATAAATCATTCCATGAGCTTTCTAGCATTGCAGCTATGGGAAGCTGCACCCATATAATTTGCCGTCTTGTACCACAGTATATTAAATGTTTCCTCTTTAAGGCAGCAATGTCTGCCAAATGAAACAACGGAGAATGCTAAATCATATTAAAGCTGCAATATGACAGCTGAATTGCCAGTGCTATAGATTTAGTGCTGAAGACTTTTGTTACCTATTATACATTTTAAATGGAAAAAAAACTGGCATGCTCTATGGCTAAGAGAAAACAATACTTACTTTGGAATGATTCTGGGAGCTCTGTTCTGCTAGTCCACAGACTGAAATGATGGAGCCAGATTTAGAAGTAGCTTATTAGGTGCATGCTGCTTCAACAGTTACAGCTGCTGCTGCTGCTTTTTTTTTTTTTAAACTGAGAGGCAGGATCGTTTTTCTTTTAATGAAACCAGCCGAGAATGACATCCTGTCCGTGTTGCCATGAGAGCGTCAACCTGCATAGCAAAGTCGAGCAATTGCCAACAAACTTATTAAGGGTCATTCACTGTCTACCAGCTGGTGCCTTCTTGTGTAGCCACAAACTTGAACAGCATCAAGGAATGTCACTGCATGTCTTTCACCAGTGTAGGAAATTACTAGTTAAACATGTACACTCGAGACTGAAATGGATTGAGTCAATGCTATGTGGGAATTTTCACTAGTTAAGTACATTTTGACAAATCTTTCACTTCTTGCACAGTCAAAATCCCCACCGAATTCAACAGGAGGCTGGTGAGTGGAATATCTCCTGGTACAGCAGGCAACCTGTCAGGACCAGGCCCTAGATAAAGAATGCAGGGACTGCACTATAGACAGTATATATAGCAAATGGATCGTATCTAAGAAACGCAGCACCCTACTCCATCTTTGATCTTCAGGGGCTACATTTTTCCAGTCGCTTCAATCCAGTCTACATTAATGCTTGCCTGTTTTTCTGAATGAACTTGAATACATTGTGTATTCATCTGCAAGCCTATTTTTGTTTTACTGTGCTGACTCTGGGGTGTTTTGCCTGGGTAGATTCCATCACACATACAAGTGACGCAGCACAGTGGACACGTGTGATGGGGACCTGCAGCACTAGATGCCACGGTCTTAAATTTGCCCCTAGCTGTTTAAATTGCATGGATCTTATGTCACTTATGTGCATTTTGACGTGCGTGTGTACATTTCCAAAGAACGAGAGGCCATGGGTAGAATCCTGCCACCTGGGAGTCATTACAGGCAGTCATAAACTACAGCAGCTCTAAAGGTTATGGAAACGGAAGGTACTGAATAGCCCACTTTGCCCCGTTCCCCTTCAGGGCTTGCACAAATCAGCATGGCCTATGACAGAATTTTCCCTATCACATTTTTCATACAGGGGTTAACTTTGTCTTTTAGTCACTGACAGAGTGGGGGATGATGTGGGTCCAGAACAAATGGGTAGACTGTACTTTGGAGTCTCCAAGGCTTGTATGCAGGGGCATTACTGCATGTCTCTGGAGTATCGAGCATATTCTTTTGTATCCCATCAGCTGGTGGGAAAGAAGTGAGAATAAGCCCCTTCTTGGTGATCCCATTTTTTGTACCTGGAGAAGCAGAGACTGAAAATGTTGTCAGGCTAGGCATCCCCCCCTCTCCCATTGTGGTGCTGTGCACAGTGCAGGCACTACAAAGAGAGGCTAAAAGGCCTGAACCTATTCAGCCTCCACAAGAGAAGGCAGAGAGGGGAGCTGGTGGCTGTTTAAAAACTCACCAGGGCGGACCAGTGGGAATTGGGGGAGGCTCTGTTCCCCCAGGCACCACCAGGGTTACTAGGAATAATGGCCACAAATTGTTAGAGAGAAGGTTCAGGCTGGACATCAGGAGACATTACTTCACGGTTAGGGCTGCCAAGCTCTGGAATGGACTCCCAAGGGAGGTGGTGCTTTCTCCTACCTTGGGCGTCTTCAAGAGGAGGCTGGAAAGATATTTGGCTGGGGTGATATGACCCCAGCACTTGTTCCTGCCCAGGGCAGGGGGTCGGACCTGATGATCTGTTCAGGTCTCTTTCGACCCTAAACTCTATGATACTATGAACCCAAGCCTTAGTGAATGCCATGTTAACATATAGCATAAATGAAGGGAAGCAAAATAAACCTCCTTTGGGAATAAATAAATGAGAGTCCTGCAATTAGCTAGAACTAAAGCAGCCCTCCCTGTGCTGTCTTTATACTTTGCTAACTTCTCCTTTTTCTCCACCAACCAAGGATTCTTTCTCTGTGTGCACCCCTTCCTATGTGAATTCATCTGCTGAAATGATAATCCCATTGTAAATGCTATATGGGAAACATGAAGCATTTCAAAGGCTGTAAAGGGAATGGTTTGCACAGCCTGGTGATCTCTGGAAAAGCTGTAGAATTTTATGATCACTAGCCTGGTTGAGCAAACAGTAATATGATTGATTCTAAGTATATCTTGCAGAGCACAGCCACTAACCACTCATTCCTTCTCATTCCCTTCTCCATGTGTTCCTTTTCTTTCAATCAAATTATCATTCAACAATCTCAATCAAGCAGCAATGGAAAGTGAACATCTAGACAAGCTCTCTTTAGTTTCAATAACAATCTTTACCGTCATCCATTCATAACATTTGTATTGGTTTGAGAATTAAAACATCCCACACAAAGGGAGATTGGGACTGAATGGTTCAAAGGACCATTAAAAAATCTTTAGATGCTCACCAAATACTTGCACCTTTAGGTGCACCTTCAGTGCAGAGTGCTGACATGAGTCTCCAAGGTCAGTGAAGCACCACTGAGGCCCCAAATGAATCCTAAGCTTGGTGAAAAATAAAGAGTTGTACACAAGAGGTCCCTGTGAGGCCTTGCACTGCAGATCTGGATTGAGCAAATTTCCTCTGTTACAGGTTTGAGAACATATGGTTTGACTTCTTCATTTGGTTTCACTGATTTGTATCTCCACGGGGTGGCAGCAGCTGGGGAAGCAGAGTCTGGAATTGTGGAGGAAGAAGCTGGCTCAGTCCCTGGGCATGGAAAATCACTTTTTATCACCAAACAGTAGTGTCTGTGAAATCAGGTGGTGGACTCCAGACTCCTCCACCAGCCTAAATGATGCTTACGGAAGACTTTACAGCTTCCACAATTTAAGCAGGAGAATGGAAGAGTGGGAGGCATGGGAACTCCTTGAGAAATCCCAGCAATGAGAAACTCTAGTTGTCCCAACACTTTGTTTTAAATTAAAACAGAACAAAAATATCACTGTTTTTTCACCACTCTGATTTTTCAGTTATGCTTTAAACTTAGTTTTTATGCTATATTTATATAACAAAAACCCAAGAGTTTAAAAAAAAGTCCTTTCTTGGCATGAGTAGAATGAATGGGTTCCACTATGTGCCACAGAAAGGATTTCTAACTTGCCCCACAGACACACATATTGTGTGGAACTTGCTGGCCTCTTTAGCAAGCATCCAGCTACGTGTTTCTGACAAACCTGAAACTATAAATGCAGTTTTGCACTAGGAGATGAGCAAAATGTGCCAGAACTTCAGTGAAAAAAGCAACTCCCCATTTTTGAGACAGCTCTGACAGAGTCCATTGGGCCGGTCTGAACTTTTCATTAAGTTCTAAGAATCCAGAGAATTGTAAGCTTGGTGAGAAACGAGGAGGTTCACAGTAGAGGCCCTTGTAGGCACCGTCATTCTGATTTTATGGTTGGAGACCTGAGCCACAGAGTTCTTAGGGTGAGATTTGCAAAACAGACAGGTGTGGCGAGCATCGGTATGCCTAATAATTAGGTTCCCAGCTCTAGGAGGTGAATTCTTCAACCCAAATGAGGTAATGATGTTCCGCAGGCACACGAACATGAATTGTTGTGAACTGGAGTTCAGAACAGCCATGGTGAATGGAAGGAGTAGGTCTAAGCCAGCAAATTGGAAACACTAAAGAGAAGGATGTGTCTGAACCTGTCTCTCTCTCCAGAGCCTACACACTTTCTGCTGCAACACTGGGATTCAAAACTTGAAGTCTGTATTTTAGGACTTAGTCAACCTTCACATAGAAATGACTGCCTCACTCTCTGCTTTTGAAGATGTGGTTGGAAGGGGAAATGTTGGCAGTGGGAGCGTTGTCCACACTTCGTATACCTGTGGTTAGAGCATTCCTCCGGGGAGTAGGATATCTGGCTTTTATGCCCTCAATGGCTGGATAGGATTCAAAACTATATCCCATTCTCCCCCCGCCTTCTCCCACCCCAAAAATGTGCCATGAACCACTAGGCTAGAGCAGGGTTCAGCAACCTTTTACAAGCTGTATGCTGGAACAACCTGGCTCCAGTCTGATGCAGGCCAGGTGGCTTTGGCAGTGTGTCAGTGGTGACCGGGGGCTTTCCCCATGCCTAGCATCAGGGCCAAGCAGCTGGGTGCTGTGCCCCCGCCATTGCTCTTTCTCCCAGCTGCCTGGCTGAGGCAAGGGTGTAGCTTCCAGTTGGCGGGGAGCTGCACTAGGACTAGGTACCTGCAGATTGTCCTTGATGCTGCCACTTCTCCCCCTCCCCAGCTGTAGTGCTGGCACAGCTGGAACCTGCCTGGACCCAGTGCAGCTCCCCGCTAGCTGGAAGCTGTGCCCACACCTCAGCCTGGGGGTTGGGAAATGGCAGCAGCACAGGTGCAGCTCTCTGCTCCCTGGCTCTGCCTCAGGTGCAGGGAAAGCCCCCAGCTGGGGACATGCTGCCCAAACTATCTAGCCCACAAGGGACTAGAGCTGGGAGGCCAGGGAGGATCATCAGCACCAAGAGTGTAGCTGGAAGCTGCCTGGCCCTGGGACAGCTCCCTGCTCCCCAGCCCCAGTATGGGCAAGGGCATAGGCAAAGCCCTCTAACTCTGCAGAATGCATTAGGCACATGGGCCATATGTTGCTGATCCCTGGGCCAGAGTGTTAGATCAGCAAAGGCAGCTCCTTACTCTTCCTGTTGAAGCTGTGCCATCATGTAGAAGGGCATATAAGATTTATGGGACCAGAGACGGCACAAGCACAAAGTGTGTGCTGGGGAACAGGGGTGGCACGGGCATGACTCTAAACCTGAGAGAGAGACGCTCCCCTGGAATGTGAGTGCACTGGGGGAAGAGTCTGGGTCCATTCCCTATTCTAGTGCTGCTTATGCCTTTTGCATTCATGCGCCATTGGATAAAATTAATCTCAGCCAAGTTTCTAGCTGAGTGATTGTTAACCCAGGTTCTGTGGTACTCTGGGATGCCTTTCAAGGATGGTACACAATATTAGCAGGGTTTAGTGTTTAAACATGATTCACAAGGTAAACCAAGAGTTTTCAAATAGGACTCCTTAATGACTTGTGGTATTTCTGAGATCTTTGCAGCAAAAGAATTGCTTGATTACTGTTCTGTAGTCAAGAAATGAGTGACAATTAAGACCTTGCATTTTCTCAAGGGTGTCTTAAGTCTGAAAAAGTTGAGAAACTGTTCTAGCCCAAGGATTCACAGAAAGTCTGTGGAAGAGTGGGCTATGAAATGGCTTGTATAGACCTG